TATACAGCCCCTGTCAGGGAAGTCCTACTCACTGCCTTCTCGTGGTGGGGGTGTTTTTTGCGAAATTGAGAGGACGAAAAGCGAATGTCCAGCGCTTGAACCGGATTCCAAACCAATGGTGCACATGGGCTCCAGTATCCTGAAGGAACAAATGGCATATGAACCAATCGTTGGTCACCAGCTACCATGGGACTGTATCTCCTCACGATGCTCCACTGCCTTGTGGGTCAGACCTTTAGGTCCAAGGCCCCGGGTGTGACCCCCTAAGAAAACCACCTGCTTCGGTCTGGACATCCGGGCAGTATCACAGCCCTCACACAAATCGAATGATTTATGTGGCGCATATGTATTTGGTGCCTGCTTGTACCAATATCTATGTGTTAAAATAAATAAATAATGTCAAGAAACTTAGGTTTGGGGAATGGAATGTCTGTAGAAAAATTATAATTTATAATTTGAGACTTTAAATGGTATAAATCTTAGTCGATCGCTGCAGAACAGATGTTACTATCACTCTATATACTTCAAAATATTTAGCTATAATGCTACTCCATACTTTTAGCCATTTGATTTCATTTGTTTTTTAGATTATATTCCCGATGTCCATCTTTTAATCATCATTAGTATCGTTATTTAAACTCTTTTGATGTTACACTAGGAATATGGATCAATGTATATTGTGCCAGGCCCTATGTGCTATTTTAACTTATGAGTTCCATTTGGGGTTCAAAGGGAAATGACATTCCGTGACTGTTTGAAAGTCGTTCAGTGGAATACAGCTTGATATTGTGACTAATGTGACACAAATCCACAATTCCTGTGTCATTATAACAATGAACAAGTATATGGAAGTGTGAATAATCTATAGTTTATGTACACCTAAGAAAAATACTCGCAAAAACAAATGATTCAAAACGCATTAACTGAAAAGATCATTTTTAATCATCAGAATTCACTTACTTGAGCAAATTTCTCAGTAACGGATGATTTTGGTGGCTCTGCATGACTACTCAGCACCAATTGCAGGGCCTCAGACTCTTCAGTGGTTGGATGTAAGTGCCGGCTTTTTCTGGAAGAACCATGAATTATTTCTGAACTCTCATCTTCAGTGTAACCTCTATACCATGTAGATGGTCTACGCTTAGATTTGTCAGAGCATTTAGGAGTCCCGTGCTGGCTTTCTGAAACATCGATTTTTGATAGAGATTCTCTTTTAAGTGAATCATCTTGACTTTTAGGTAAGAATAAGGAAGTTGGACGACATTCTTTAGACTGACGAGATACAGACTCATTTGGATAATCTTCAATAAATTGGATCTGATCGCTTGAAGATAAGCTTTGTGGACGAGCCAATGACTCTGTTATAGTAGTACCTTTGTAAAAATTAATGTTAAGTCCAGATGACGGACTCTATAGAAACCTTTTACAAAACATATACAGTTAAACAAGTTTTGGGCTTTTAAGATGTGCTCTCTAAAGTGTGATAAGTCCTTTGGCGACTTGCACTTATAAGATTCACATTCTTGAAACTTTGTTTTTCTTATAGTATATCACTTTCCCGTAAATATATACACGTATGCTTAAGTGATGTGTATGAGACCGTCTGGACTGATGTACGTATAATCAATGTGGTGTATACTAGTAGCTTTTATTTTGTTGTCGTTTGATCATAGTAAATACAATGAAAATGATTTTTATATTTCAAATATAATTTTCACATATAATGACTTCTCTATACTCGGCGCTCAATTGCTGTCAAACTATTCGTTCTAATCTGGACGAATATTCGTAAAAAATGATTTTTGTCCAGCTTTATCATTTAAAATATGAGGCTAGGTTTCTGAACTGACGATATATTTTACCATGTTGAATAGCATTTGCCTTATGTCGCCGAAGTTCCTTGGAAAAAGCGTGGATTATAACTGGAAGTGTTTACACCTGAAGTAAAGGAAAAAATAGTTCCCACTAATTGAGACTTCCCTACAGCACTAAGTTTTATGACACGAAATAATTTTCCATATGCTGTCCCATATTCACACTACATACTCTCACCGATCTTTGGGACGACTGAGAAACTCAGAAGTCATAATTCGATAACATGTTAACGCAAGAGAGATTACTTGCGATGGACTAACTTTCTATCAATGACCCACAAGTGCCACTTTTAAAGTTTTTTATATTTTACGAAAACGACAGTAGTGTCCCAGATGTATTTTACTTTCTATAAAAAATAATAGTTTGAAACAATTTCCTAGTAATCTGTTTACAACTTTTAATTTTAATTCTTAACGGTATATAATATAATCCTTATGATGAAAAGAATGTTAGTGCCGATATAAATAGCAATTCATGTAACTATAACTGATATGGGAAATACATCAAAGCCTTCAATATTTCACTGCGATTGCAGAAATTCAGTGAGAGGTTATCGCCAAGTGAACTTTTACACAGAATAACACCTCAAAAATATTCAGGGATGATTGATAATTCATATCAAACTAAGGGCAAAATGAAGACTTTATTTTCTTCCAAAACTTATCCCATTCTTGATTTCGAATTTGTAAAAATGCTAGAGCATTATTTGTATTGATTACTGCCTGAAGCATATTTGATACAAGGTTTAAATACTAAGGTATGTTCTTATGATGAAACAAACACTTTTGAGGCAGATCAGGATATATGTAAGCTGACTTTTCTGATTTTGGTATTCCAGAACGTCATTTGGAGATGGCTGACCAAAGTTGTTTGGCGAAGAATAAAACTAACTACCACTACGCTTATAAACATACTATGCATTGCAAAGTACTGCTATGAATGAAGGCAGTTTTACGAAGAAAAAGAGTATCTTAACTGCTAGGTACACTCAGTACCTAAAGTCTGCCTCGAACAGATAGAGCAAAATGTTACTGAAGATCTGTGCACGATGCAAATTAGTACCGAATATAGACCGTGAAAGTATCACTCACTAACAATGAAACTAGTATACAAAGCCATCAGTTTGGTACTGCACCTTAGAAGAGAAGAACAAAGTAATGAAACTTCAAATCATTTTCAGTCACAAGATACTTAATTATTAGGAATGAATTGAAATTTAGATAATAATAATAATAATAGTGTAAAAAATAATAAATCAATTTATGGACAGTACTGAATAGACAGTAGAAACACTGATTATTACTCGGTCAAAAAGCTAAAATGTTTTCAACTGAACTTTAGCAACGTATGATGGAAACGCTCCAAATCTTAGCTAACAATTAGCTGGAAATGACTTACCTTCACCTACCGTGCCCAGCTTCGAATCAGATGTATCACACTTCTTATCTCTGAAATGCTTTCTCACGTCTAAGACAGAAGGTTTGGTAGATTCTAAATATAGAACTTTGAGAATAGTAGGTGAGTACTTGGTATGTTAGTTCGAATAGGATTTTTCGGAATATGGTTAGGGCTTTTGTTTACTCGAAAAGATTTTAGCTGCCACTTTGTGCGCAGACCTGGTCCTACAGTTAATGATGGAATTAACTCAGCGTATACCTTTGTTCATTTGCACGAGGGTTTGTGTGTTAGTGATCTCTTCTCTGAAAAAAAGTAGGTAGAGTGGCAACCCACCAGTCTCGTCTCGGACAGGAGTTACAACAATGCGGAAGCATATAACGCAATCTGAAACTGGTAACAAAACAAAAAGAAATTACTATCTCTGGAATAAAGGTTCATAAGCACTTCCGTCTCGTTAGTCTGATTAAGGGCTTCCAACAAAGTCTCCATCGAATCAACAGTAGTCTCCGGTCCATAGAAAATTGATAAAGCTGAAGACTTGAGCATAAGCTGGCCCTTCGTATATCGAAGAAGCTCGCAAAACCCATCACTACAGTATATAATTGGTCTGGAAGGAAGTGTGGCATTTGCCACGATAAAGTTTTCATCTAACAACTTAGGAAAACGTTGATTAAACTTACACTGAGAGTCAAAATTCCTAATAAGAGTTACAATGTAGGTATTGTGTGGTGCAATATGACCCCTTTTAATGGGCATAATCACAAACCACTACAGGTTTGAGTCAATAATACCTTTGCAAAAGGCAAAAACGTGATTCCGACTGTTTAGAACTTATGCTTAGTTTTCGACCTTCATAATCAATTAGTTAAAAGCAAATTCAGACCTTTTGTCATTCATACCTCAAGTAATGAATCAGAAAATGTAGTGAGACTTAAACAGTTTTTTTTAGTCGCTAATGGCGTTTATTACGATCAAAATAAAGCAGCATTCGAAACCTGAAGGAACAAAATATTATCCCCTCTTCATTGGTATGTCAGAATTACATGGTAAGAATAGCGAGTCAAGTGACCTGTACTGATCGTTATAACTTTCAGCGTTGCTGGAATTCGATTTTTACTAGAACGTATCGAATTTTGTTGTTTGATTATATTTTCCTTGAAAAAGCTTGGACCAGATTGCCATGTAGTGACTCACATTCATCACGAGAACACGACTGGTTTAATAAAAACAATTATTATTATAACCAGCTGTACCAGTGTTTGTTTTAACGTGCTTTTGTTTGACTGTGCTAATGACAGCTATTTTGTGCTTCCATTCTTATACTTACACTTTGATTGTAACTTCGCGCGAATTCGGTTACCTTCTGTAACCAAGGTTGTATCCTGGCACGATCTCGGTATCCTTGCGATGCCACGAGATCGCCAGCTAATAAACCTCGACTTGGTCCATTAATTGCCTTCTGGTATTTGACTTCTCGGGGATTTTATGGATCTATTTGGTTACGTCCAACCTTCGCCTTCTGATTAATTTGGCACGTGTTTCTTGGTAGCGGTGTTCATAATTAATCTAAACTCGACACCACGCCACAATTGTTGATCCCAAAGTTTGGAACACGCCTCAACGTCAGGTCAAATCTTCCAAAGAAGCCAATTTGGTGAGTCTATTATTTATCTATCCACGTCTGTCGTATATTTTCATATTAATTTTTAATATATAATATACACGACATGACGGATAGCGACAAGAATACTATTGATGTTATAGACTCAGACGTACAGGCCATTCACTTTCGACCTGTATCATTTATCCCCCACGACCCTGAGGTCTGGTTTGCTGCATTAGAGTCTCAGTTCGAGACTCGTCGCATCACGAGCCAAAGGCAAAAATACACCTACGCTCTCGAATCGTTACCCGGGGACCATTTAGTAGCTGTTCGTGAGGTCGTCCTCAATTCTAACGTGCCTAGTGTTTATGACCGCCTCAAGGAGGCAATTCTCCGACATTTCCTCCCATCGAGGGAGGAACGATTGAGGACCCTGTTAGCACGTCACCCCCTGGGTGATGCTAAACCAAGCCATCACCTCACGCGCCTGCAATCTCTTGCAGGACCAACAGCATCTGACTCGGAGATAGTTAAGGAATTATGGCTCGAGTCACTACTAGCCCATATCCAACCTACTGTGACGGCACTGCTCGAGGACTCACCGCTTAACCAGGTAGCCCTCATAGCAGACAAAATTTTGGCGAGGACTAGTAATAGAGACACCTATGTAGTTGCTTCGACGGCACGTCCCAAAGTAGACATGGAGGCCGGTCATTCCTCAGCCCATGGTGACAGGGCCGGATGTATTCACACACGTCTTAGTTTTCGAGACCGTTGTAACGTACCCCAACCCTACGTCCCCCGAGCTCGCTCAAGTTCCCGCAAACCCGTCACAACTCGCCCAAAACAAGCATCTTCCAGGCCACGCCGAAAGGCGGCTACGGAAGCGAGTGACAGTTGCTGGTTCCATAGGTCCTTCGGGTCTGGCGCCCGCCGTTGTCGAGCACCATGCTCATACAAGGTGGGAAACGCCAGCGCCGGCGAGTAAAAGCGGCCGTACTCGCCGGCCCTTCTCCCCAGGTTGGTCGCCTATTCTATGTGCACGATTATCGCACAAACGCTAGGTTCCTAGTAGACACTGGGGCCCAAGTTTCTGTCGTACCACGAGGTAGCAGCAAGTCACAAGCCACAGTGCTTCGACTACGCGCTGCGAATGGCTCAGTCATTCCTACCTACGGTACACGACAACTCGCGGTCAACCTGGGCAACCGACGACGGTATCTGTGGACGTTCATCATTGCTGATGTTCCCACAGCCATACTAGGTATCGATTTTCTACAGCACTATGAATTGCTTGTCGATTCACGTAGGCTGCAGCTAATCGATACTTCGTCGAACAGCAAATTCATGGGCTGTAAAGCCCACATGAACGTGTACCGAATCCTCGGCACTTTTTACTCGCGTGACGATAAATTCCACGCTTTATTCGAGAAATTCCCCGTACTCACTAAACCACTCGAGGAGCTTCCATCGGTGACCGATCGTGTGGTACACCACATAGTCACCCGCGGACCGCCAGTCACGGCACGACCTCGCCGCCTGGCACCAGACAAATTAGCTTTTGCTAAGCGTGAGTTTGACAATTTACTAGCTACTGGTATTATTCGTTCTTCTCACAGTCCATGGGCCTCTCCTCTACACATGGTGCGCAAAAAAGATGGGGTTAGTTGGAGACCATGCGGCGACTACCGAGCTCTAAACGTAGTTACGCGCTTTAATAGCTACCCCATCCCCCACATACACGACATCACGGCATCGCTCAAAGGCACGACTATCTTTTCTAAGATCGATCTGGTACGAGCATATCATCAGATCCCAGTCGCTCTTGAAGATATCGAAAAAACCGCTATCACGACTCCTTTCGGTTTGTTTGAGTTCCTACGAATGCCATTTGGATTACGGAATGCTGCTCAAACTTTTCAAAGGTTTATCGATAGCATTGTACGAGACCTCGATTTTGTTCATGTCTATATTGATGACCTGCTAATCGCATCATCAAACGTAGATGAACATTATCAACATCTTACGCTATTATTCCAACGCCTTTCGGATAATGGAATAGTAGTTAACCCAGACAAATGTGAGTTAGGTAAACGAGAAATAATATTTCTGGGTCATGTTATCAAGCAAGAGGGTATTCTACCTTGTGAGAACAAAGTGCAAGCAATAAAGGAGTACAACGTGCCGTCCTCACTCAAGGAACTGAAGGCTTTTCTCGGTTTGGTTAACTTCTACCGTCGTTTCATCCCACACGCGGCAGAACGGTTACGACCACTAACCGACTTACTACGCGGCAACCCACGCAGATTGGAAATGAACGATTCTGCACGTACTGCATTCACTGAAATCAAAACGGCTCTTGCGCAAGCCACTCTTATCACCCACCCCGATCCATCAGCCACGCTTAGTATAGCGGTTGATGCATCCGATGTTGCTATAGGAGCAGTCATGCAACAAAACATCTCCGGTAGTTGGCAACCTCTCGAGTTTTTCTCACGACGCCTTACTACCACGGAGACGAGATATAGCGCTTTTGGTCGCGAGCTGCTAGCAGCCTACTGAGCCATCAAACATTTTCGGCACGCAGTAGAACGATGTCGATTCATCTTATTCACCGACCATAAGCCATTAACGTATGCTTTGCATACCAAGTCTGACCGCTACTCACCACGAGAGTGCAGACATTTGGACTATATCTCCCAGTTCACGACAGACCTTCGTCACATCCAAGGCAAGTCGAACTGTGTTGCCGATGCTCTATCACGAATCCAAATGAATGCAGTTACTCTGCCGGTGCTCGATCTTCCTGCTATGGCCGCTGCCCAAGCAAACGATCCCAGCTGTACAAAAGCACCACACTCTACGTCCCTTCAGTATCAGGAAGTACCTCTAGCCACGACTTCTGGCACCATTCTATGTGATACTTCTACCGGTCTTCCTCGACCCATCGTACCCTCTGCTTATCGCCGTCTCGTTTTCGATGCCCTGCATGGATTATCTCACCCAGGTATCGCAGCTACATTACGCCTCATCGCTGCACGATACGTCTGGCTGTCCATGAATAAAGATGTTCGTATGTGGGCTAAGCAATGCTTACAATGCCAACGATCAAAAGTGCACAGGCACGTAGCCGCCCCCCTCGGTACATTCGCTACGCCTGATACTCGCTTCAATCACGTTCACTTAGACATTGTAGGACCACTGCCACCATCGCACGGGTATGATCACATACTCACGTGCATCGACCGCTTCACCAGAAGGCCCGAAGCTATACCCATCACGTCTATCACGGCGGAGACAGTTGCTCACCGCTTCGTAGAACGATGGATAGCTCTATACGGTTGTCCCTCGACTGTCACGACTGACCGAGGACAACAATTTGAGTCCGCACTATTCTTCTCACTTACTCGGCTACTTGGTACGGAACGCATACGCACTACCGCCTACCATCCAGCTTCAAACGGTTTAGTTGAAAGGTTCTACCGTCAACTTAAAAGTGCTCTTCGAGCACACGAAAACGACGACTGGTACGAAACCTTACCGCTCGTTCTTTTAGGTATCAGAACGAGTTTAAAGGCAGATATCCAATGTTCCGCCGCTGAACTTGTATACGGCACGACATTGCGTCTGCCCGGGGAATTCTTCACACCACGGAGCAGACCTAATTTCGGTAAATCAGACTACGTCCATCGACTGTCTGCATTTATGCGAACGCTGCCTCCGGTGTCAACTCGAATACAACATCGACAGGTCGCTCTCCCTCGAGAGTCATCTACCTGTTCACATGTTTTCATACGAGTAGATTCGGTACGCAAACCTTTGCAACAACCTTACGAAGGCCCATTTCGCGTGATCGCTCGTCACGAAAAGACCTTCAAGGTTGATCGATATGGACGCGTCGAGATCGTCAGCATTGATCGTCTCAAACCAGCACACGTCGATGACAGTGCTCTATCTGACAACCTGAGATTCAATGCTAGACCTAGCAAACCTACTAGCGGGATCCTCAAACCATCTTCAGGTCCCACGCTAGATACATCTGAGACCTCATTCCCACGTCCCGGTCAACAGCACGCGTCATCTGTACCGTCTACGGACGAGACGACAGTCTCACGTCCAGATCAGCAGACGACGCCGCCCTTGACTTCGGATGAGATTGCAGGCTCACGCGACGCGAACGAGACTGCCGTCTCACATTCCGGTCGCCGAGTGCGGTTACCCGTACGCTTCCGCGAATAGTCGCACAGTCAACAACCGATACGGTGTAGGACTATTCCTATGCTACACTCTTCTTTTTTTGATTTTCTTTTTGTTTCCTGAGCCCACGCCTTCGACCATCTCCGTTTGGTTCCGTCGACTTCAGTCAACTTTGGCGAAAGCTGGCCAGATCACCCATGCCCTTGTCAATGCACTCAGTCGATATATTGGTTTCGAATGCTTGGCACACGCTTGGTCTCGAACTTGGTCGTTACGGTCGCTTCTGGTCTTTTGGCTCAACGTGGTTTCGTCCTACGTCTGCAGCGTTTCTGGTGCGCACCCCTACGAACGCCATCTTCAGATTCTGGATACAAACCACTCTGGTGTAGCATGCCAACTCAAGCAATAAATACAACACATCGCTCCTGGTACCGTTCTCCGAAAACGACCTTCGTTGGCAACTCGACGATCAACGATCGCTTTCCTGTTCGCCAATTCTTCCGTCCTACAATCGCTCGTCAGCCGATCAGTCCCACGATTCAAACCGCTATTTATCGAAAGTGTAAACCCTTTCTAGCGGGGGGCTCCGGTAGTGACTCACATTCATCACGAGAACACGACTGGTTTAATAAAAACAATTATTATTATAACCAGCTGTACCAGTGTTTGTTTTAACGTGCTTTTGTTTGACTGTGCTAATGACAGCTATTTTGTGCTTCCATTCTTATACTTACACTTTGATTGTAACTTCGCGCGAATTCGGTTACCTTCTGTAACCAAGGTTGTATCCTGGCACGATCTCGGTATCCTTGCGATGCCACGAGATCGCCAGCTAATAAACCTCGACTTGGTCCATTAATTGCCTTCTGGTATTTGACTTCTCGGGGATTTTATGGATCTATTTGGTTACGTCCAACCTTCGCCTTCTGATTAATTTGGCACGTGTTTCTTGGTAGCGGTGTTCATAATTAATCTAAACTCGACGCCACGCTACAGCCAGGCGAAACGTTGGACTTACTTGAAATTCATTCGCTGAGATTTTACAAATGTATTCTTCTTTTTAATATGCATTAATAGTCCTGAAATAATGTGAAAATAGTTTGGATAGACAGGATCGTATGACTGTGCACAGAGTCGATGGACATCTGAAAAGTTTGAAGATGCCACAGCTTTTCGCAGTTTGATAACGCTTTAACCTGTAACACTTAATATGAAGCGTACCCAACAAGTTAAGTCAAAAGACAGAAGCGAGGAGGTTCGAAGATATATTTGATAGGTTATCAATATATCGAGGATCGTCTGATTTAATCTAGCTAGCAATTGCAGGGGATGTTGAGCACGGCGTTCCCACTCGTGATCTGGTGCGGATGCATGACCGAGCGCCTTCAGCTAGGTGAGTCCATTAAAATTAATGTGGTCAGCATCCAATGTCGAAGACTTACAGACCTATTTATATTGGGGATTTATTTATCGCTACAAGTTGACTGACGCTCAAAAATTGGTTTCTTACCCAACAAGTCAACACCATAAT